TGTTGGACAATGGAGAGGATCTGTGTCTTTCAGGGGGGGTTGCATTCCCTCACAATTAGTGACGGATCACATTCCATTGCACATATTTACTTGAGCAGGCGAAAGTCACCATCCACATTTATACCCTTCAAAGAGTCTATATCTCAAAGCATTCAACGTGGACAGTGCCTAGCATGCTAGCAGGAGGGACAGGAGGATGCTTAGGCCATGCATGGATAAAAGAAAGTGGGTTTAAATTCACTGTGACTTTTATTTGATGAGGAGGATCACTTTGCCACGTAGCCTGGACAACCATTTGCTACATACTGTGATCAGAATGCAGACGAGTGAAATTCAATTCAATCAAAAAATAAAAAGGGCAGTTTAAACAATGGAAATACCCCCATCAGCCTTAAGCCAGTTGAGATGTAGGTTTAATTCAAAGTGCAGTTTCCATCTTTCCGACATTACTGCAGCCGTAGGAGCCAGTGAGACGGAACAAGTTGGTTGGAATAAACGTTTACGATTTGACTCACATTGACCTGCTCAAAAAAAAAAAAATTGATTTGTACTTTAATGTTTATTTTACTAAATCAATGTCTTGAAATAATATTGAACCATTTTGCATGGGTTGGGCATGTCCTCATGGGCTCTGGCCCCTCACTTTGATGAGGACGAAAGAGCGTACTAGGGACTGTAATCATTTTTACATCATCTCGGGCCAGCACTGTATAATTAGAAAGGGTTGATTTCCTTGACCACAGCAGGGGCTGAAATTGCAGGCCTTGGCCCCAACCGGGGTTTAGGAAAGTAACTGAAATAGCACTGGCGAGCTTCTGTCCTTGTGTCCCTCTGCCTTGTAAAGTGTCTGTCAGATGGCAGAGCAGTCACCGTGACACACTGCAGCCTATTCACCAGCACTTGGATGGCCTGGCTTTTATGTGGCGCCTCTTTGTTTTCAGAACCAACTACCAAAATTACAACTTTGTCATAATCTCTTTAGCATGCAATGGGCCTGAAAGCTGTATCAGCCACGGCCCTGCTGTGCAGCAAGTGAACACTCCGCGGGCAGCTTTTACGGTCACCCAGTGTAGCCTCTAGATACTGCTAGCTTTACTGTGAATAAGTACAGCGATTCTCCTACACAAGGGCATCTTTGTTGCACTGCACCAGTTATCAATAATAATGCCAATTTCATTATGATATCTTAAATGTTTTCTTTAAATCTCAGGTTGCACACGGAGGGAAAACTAATGCTGCTGTCACATGAATTGGTCTCGAGACTAGTTTGACAAGGAAGAAGGGTTGCATTTCCTGAAGATTATTTGTTTTTCTCCCATTATATTATCTTCATCTAGATAAAAAATAATATTCTTCAAATACCGCACATGGGGGCTTTGTCATTTTCATTTTATTCAGATACTACATTGTTAAAATATATCATTACTCAAGGCATTTTTTGCCTTTACTCAGGGATGACAGGAAATGATGGGAGGGAGCGAAGAAACTTAAGCTATAAAGATTCCTGGCCAACACAAACCAGGGATGTTATGGTTCATGGCCAGTGCCTAAAATCTAGGACCACCGAGATGCCCCAAAATATATTGTCATTCCAATTGTTTAACTTAGTAATAAAAGCCCCAATCTTACACTTGTGTTGAGTACTTACTACAGAGAGAACTTGACTTAGATCCCCTTCCTCATATCTGTAACCGGCACACACTAGGGCTGTTAACATTAATATTTGAATAGTAAAAAAAAAACAGCCAGATATTCAAAGATGATAGAAGAAGATAATCAATTGTGAAAAAAAAAAAAAAGCAGCAAAGTCTGTCTGCCTAGCACTCACTTAATGCACCACATGACGGGAGTCACCAGTTCAATTTGGACACAGTGCTGACAGCGCAGAGACACACAAGCTTCCCTAAGGATCCTTAAAAGTGTCGGTTTCAGTGTGGATGCTGGTCCCCCTCGGGTCAGGGTAACGGCATGTCCTGGCCTCGACTAAAGTGACCTTTGGGCCATTCACAGGTTTCTCCGTGTCTGGAGGCATGCAGAGGTGTCATTGCAACCTTTCCGCTTCCTGTCTCTGGCATTCTTCTTTGTTTAGGAGGCCTTTAAAACACAGGCCAGCCTTGTGTCCCCTGTGGCGAGGCGGAGGTCTCTGTTTCTGATTAGCCCGGCAGCCCGACAACACTCATTCCCTGAGGGGAGAAGCAGGATACTAATGGTAGCTTGTAGCTCCTGTAGTTGAGTCTGGCTGCAGACAGGCGTCAGAGCTAATCTGCTGAAGTCTTCCCCGAGCAGCACAGAGAGCAGAACCAAAGCTAATTGTCATTACAGTGGTTCACCACATCTGCAGTTCTGTTTTAGCTGGCTCTGCTGACGTATGGCCTGTATTATTAGTTAGGTATTACATGTTATCTTGAGGTTGATTATTCATACATTTTAATTTGTGGCCATGATGAGTGGGCAACTTTGATGCCGCAGAATAGATGACTTTGCCGTTTGCTGGCTCCAGGGTTAAAATGCTCTTTCCATTCTGGCAAAACCTGTTTTTTCCATCTCGGGCTTGGACTCCACCGAGCAAACTGGTAGCCAGGTTAAGTGATTTGCAAGCCTTGAGTGAAGTCATGTGTAGAGACTGTGGGGAGCCACTTCTGTGAGGAGGAAAGTATCTTAATAGGTGAGGGCAAAACATGAGAAAAATGAAGGCAATATCTAGAGCTAGATTTAAGTTTGACAGCAGAGAAGGTATATAGCTATAGCTGCCCTGAAAGCACAAAGGATTTAGTGCCGGGCACAGTGAAGCCATGAGAGACATCTGCTAGCTTACATTGCAAGCTAGCAGATTTATGGACAAATAGATTGTGGATTTCTTGTTGAGTCCTAAACTTATCATAGTTGTATTTGAGAGGTTAGTTAAGGTCTGTGGGGATTTGTTAGGCAGATGTACCCGTGCAGGTAGACAATGATTGGTGAGGTTTTCTCTTTGGAGCCATAGCCCTGCTGCGTGGTTAGGTTGATACAGCTACTAGAAACTGTTATGAAATGAAATTTGGCCTCTTCAAGCTGCTCAGTGTTGATTAAAATATGTTGGACTTTGAGTTCACATGTGTTCAAACACTTTTAAGTATTCTGAATACCAGGGTCGGCTTTCTGTTTTTTTTTTTTTTGTTTTTTTTAATACATCTGCTCAAATTTTGCACTATTCACTGTTTAAAAATGGTGTATAATGAGACTAGAAATATGAAAATAGGGGGGGGTGCTTGTTTTCCAAGTTGGGGATTGATCAACATTCTGCTGTCGTCCTGCAGAGAGAGAGAGAGAGAGAAAAATACAATGTGGATAGAGGCGGGACGAAGATGAATGATGATTAGTTTGATTAGTTCGGACAGGAACAGCCAGCCAGTGTGCTTAGTGAATTACATGTTATCTTAACCCAGTGGTCAATGACACAACCTTATTTACTCTACTGACTGGATGTCCTTCTCATGTGCCCCGATGGCATGAGAAATGCTCACTGGCCCCTGACCCTGGGTTTAAAAACAAACGTGGCCCTGTGTTCTCAAGGATCCAGGTCTCCTCTGTGGTTTTTTTCTTCCACCTCTGCTTGTTGTGTTCCAAATGAGCCCCATGTGAGCAGTGGCAGATGTAGCAGTGTTGGCAAACAGGACAGCTACAGTAAAGGCAAACAAAGAGGCCAGTGCATTGACGGCTTAACTAGAAAGGAAGTAGATGCATGCAAATCATTACAGGGACTTTCAGTCAGAGACCACTCTACTGTATGCTGAAATCAACTGCTATCCCCGCTGTGTAAGCTAATTTCTCTGCAAGCCTGTGGCACCTGCCTTTGTAACATAGTTGTATAACTGGCAACTGAATACCTTCAAACTTAATGAATGTAGAAATTTCTGCGTGGTTGAGTTAATCCGTGAAAAACACGTTTGATTAATTGGAAGCGTTTAAATATTTCCCCCTCGGATAGCTGTGATATGTCTGTTTTTTTTATAAATACTCTAAAGTGGCATCCTGTCAGAATCCAGCTGCTTTCCGCAGCAACAAAAAAAAAAAAAAAAGGTCGCCAAGGTTTCCTCGAAGGTTTGACATTCCTGGTGTTCAGACTGGTAGATGGTAGTAAAAGTAAATGATTTGGGACATTGTTTCAATTGGGTCAGCTTCAAGGTCCGTGTGGTCATCCTTCTGTATCTAAACAAAAAGCGTCTTCTGGTCTCTGTGTTAAACAAATCAAGTGTTTTTGCTATAATTGTCCTTTTGGAAATTATAAGTAAATCATCTCTTTGGATCAGAATACTTTGAATTCCACGGCTCTCACTGGGTTCATGGAGTTTCTAGGTGACTATAGGAGCTGCATTTCTTTCCTCCGGCACATTCTTACTGTGTTGTTTTCTAGTATTTGTCTGCTTGTTGAGCTCACAACAGTGCAGAGCCTTAAAAGTCCTGCATAGTCAACATTGTGATTATCATACACAAAGCTGATTGGTGTGCAGTACATTCACATTAGCACATAGATCAATAATCCTTAACAGCATTGTACCACAATAGCACTTTGGCGTAAACGGATTTTAAAAAGTCCACTGAGCTCCATTTCCTTCATCCCTGAAAACTTTGCTCTACACAAACATTAGCCTACAATAGTGTGTCTGCTCTACACAAACATTAGCCTACAATAGTGTGTCTTTCGTAACGCTCAAGCTCAATGCATACCCAAATAGGTAGCAAAATGTAAGGACGTGAGCTAATACGAAAGCTATTTGTAAAACCTTTAACAAGCTCATGTTTCTCCTCAACAGGCGATGTCCACGGTGCCCAAAGAAGATTCCCACCTGAGGGAAGCCCTCAGTTCCAGGGGCCGGGCAGCGGGCCCCCGAATATCCCGGATGATGTTTTCAGATTAAGCCTGGCCAAGGGAGTGTCCATGTCTCTTCCATCCTCACCTCTCCTGCCACGACAGTCGTACATGATGCCCTTACGCCCCACCAAGAGGTCACCAGGTAAATATATTTGAGCGTTTTGAAATGTGTCCTGATGTTGTAGCTGCAGTTCCAATAGTTAAAATACTTCTGTTGTGTACCACACACTACCGTGACTATTAACCTAAACAAGCTAAATGTGCTTAAACCTCCTTGAAACATGGCAAACTATTCTGAATAATTGTTGTTCTTGGAAGAAGAATAGTTTAGGTGATTTAGCGTTAAGTGTTATAACTACAGCTCGGCCGTTCTGGATCCCAGAGGTTCGGCTGTGAGCTCGGATTGTTTTTGTCACTTCCTCGTTGTATTTGATCACCTTGTGTCGATGTCGAGGTTTCTACAAACCGCACCGTGTGTTTACACTATGCCGGCTGGTAATGGCCGTGTGTTTACACTGGATCCAATTGTCAGTCCTCCCCGACCTCCTTCTATCCACCATGTTGAGAACATGCTTGTCAGCAGCTGTGGGGTGCTTCAAAGCAGGGGATACCTTTGTAGCTGAACTTGTCTCAACCTGAGTCTTTGTATTCCGGAGACTTGGCAAAGAGGAGAGAAATCTTTTAAGTGGTCAATGTGGCCCCACTCACATGTGGCACTCATCTGTGGACCATCTAGCCTTTGTTTCGAGTGGTTACAGCTTTGCTCTGCTTAGTGTAAAGACGAGTAGATGGGAAGGGGGTAGTATGGTTTTAATCCTTATGCACACTTGTGTTGTTCAAGGTCACATCTCTGATTTGAAAAAGATTGTCGGTTTATTTTAATGCAATCACGCAATTTTTTTTATCACAGAATTGAAAACCTAATGTTTCGAGATGCAGTACATTGTGCAAATGTTCAGAGGAAAAGCGGATACATAATTGCTTAGGTATGCTTCATCTTTAGTTTTTAAAAAAGGAGGAGATAAATAGTTTGTAATAGCCAAGTAGAGTTGTATTTGCTCAACCAGCCCCCACACAAGTTAAACAACATCTATCCAACTACCTTAGGTGATACAGGATCTGTGATGACCTTTTTAAACCCAAAGAGAATGTCGATGAAATGTACATTTACAGACATGACAGGAGGGACAAGAGGTGGCGAGAGATGAAGATGAAGAGAGAAGAGACTGGGCTTTGTGAAGGTGAAAAGGGCTCTGGGGACGGGGGAAGGGGAACACTCATTAAAGGCATATTCCCACTTGGGGTGCTCTGAGGCATGGAAAAACGGACTGACAAGATAGGATGCTATGGAGGACAACCAGGGAGAGAGGGTCGGGGTAGGGAGTAGTAGGGGGGGGGGTGTTTTGTAGGCTCTCCTCCACTGTCCTCACAGGTAACTGTGAAAACCGGTCGGGGGAGAGTTCACACCTCCAGTTAATAAACACATACTGCAGGAAATGTCTCAGCTCTGCGACGAAAACAACATGGGTCAAAATGCCGCTTTTTCGCTTCCCGCTGAGCCGCAGAAGCAGCCCAGCACTCTCAATTTAAGACTCGTCTCTGTCGAAATGAGCTTCAGACAATCCATGGCCGTTGTACAGATGTTCTGCTAAATCATCGTTTTGATTCACCCTGGATATCTAGCAGGAAAGCGGGAGTCATTGGTACCATTTCAACAAACTCATGCCTACATTTCTACTGATATTTGCAATGAGCACATTGGGCAAAAGACAAAAGTTTGAAAAAAAGGGCTTCTATCACACATCTATTTGTTCTCCTTCCCATCCGTGATGTAAGAGGGAAGTGGTCTCACAGATTCAGAGAGCATTTTGTGGCCTGACTTCATTTCCTGACACATTAGATAATCTATCGCAGTTCGGAAGGCTCAAACTTAGTGGTTGTTGTTTTGGGTTGTTTTCATGCAAACTTCACAGGCGGACAACAGAGAAACATTGAGTTAATTAGGAGTGTGACGGATGCCTGAGCCACACAATCCTGGTGGCGTTGAGTGCCCCAGCTTTGATCAGCTAAGCCCAGAGCTTAACCATGAAACACTGCACCCTGACATGTGTTGAGCAGCACCTTGGCTTTATAGTCTTAATAATAGTTTACAGGCACCACCAAGGCCCAGGGAGGAACATTTACTACAAGAATGTAGCCTGAAATGACCCATCTTGCCGTCCAACCCCGTGCAGGTCAAAGATCAGGCATTGAAAAACTTGAACCTCGATCTTAAGTGGGTAGAGTAAAGTCAGAGACACTTTTTCAAAGGGTTGAAACCTCTAACCTCTCCTGGGTATCTACACAGTGACCTCCTCTGGTTGTTCTATGTTACTGGGCCATTGAGGGTTTAAAAGCATCTGTCGTCTTCAAGGTTGCGCTGCTTGTAAAGATGACGCTTTCACAGCTGCTGGAATGAGCACATCAGAAAAGCCCACCTCTCCATACACATACAACCACAGATTATATAGAACCATCCCTGATGTACGAGGTGGTGGACACACAGAGGTGATTCTGCTGCTGCCACTGTACGTTCCTCATGTGTGACCTTTCTTCAGTCACATGACAAATCTGTTAGCGCCACGCTTTTTGCCTCCCTGTCAGCCTGCGAGGGATCATAAAACTGCAATTCATATTAATTTATGGCTGTCGTGGGCAGTGTATCATTTTAATTAGTAGATCTGGAATGAGGCCACAGGGGGAAGTTGTGTCTGGTCGGCTGTTGTTGTGTATATTGAAAACAGTTGAGGGGATTTTTCTTTGATGGGAGCTTCGGTTTCGGAGGTTCAGAGGCTGATTCCTTTTATCGATCAGCCAAGTAGGTCTGAAAGTCACCACCAGCGAGATCACACTTTATTCTGACACGATCTTTCCGAGATTCAGTCGGGTACCTACAATCCTGAGTTTGGACATGTAGACCCAAGAGGCCAAACTGAAACCAATTATCTGCAGCTTGTAACAACCCCACAGCTTGTGGCTTGTGTTTATATATGTGTGTGTGTGTTTGTGTGTGTGTGAGATGCTCAGGTGACTGCTGTCACTGGCCGTGGTCTGATGTCATGCCCTCTTTATTGCTCATCTCCCCTTTATCTCTTGTTTTGTGGTGGCAGCAGCAGCAGCAGCCCCACACACTGAACGCTATACATCAGTGGTGGTTAAACCGCGGCACAGTCTTTACACTGTGTTCTTGTTGTGGTTATTAAGTACCATAACCAGTCAGTCAAATGTTTTGGGAGCTTCGGGGTTAAAGCTTTAGAAGGTATTACAGCAGAGACGCAGCAGACCACATAAAACAACACAAAATGTCATCTGGTGGAATTTCACTAAGCTTCAGAGCAATTATTAAAACCATAGATCATGTCTGGTTAAACTGATTCAAAGTGATTTAATACCTTATAACTTATAATTTCTCGATAGCAATATTATCTTTGAAATTTTCTCGTTAAATAATTGTTTGATTGAAATAAGTCGTATTTACATTAACCTGTACGAGTACAATGCTCATCCACTCGTATTCTTCATCTTCCTCTACAGTACCAGACGAGTTCAATTTGTTTTGCAGTACCGTCATGAGGATAGGAGCCGTCTTCAAAGCCCGTCGTAGCCCCTTTGAGGTGCGCTCTCCCCTGAAGTCGACTCTGGGGTATTGACAGTAAGCAGACAGGCCAGAGGGAATATCGATGCCTTCTGTTTTTGAGAGCCGAGCTGTAAAAGAACCTTGTGATGCTGCAAGAACCCTTTGAAAGGTTCCTCTGATGAGCACCCAGTGAAAAGTTATATCCAGTTCTTCACTTCACTGCTCTTGGCTACTACACTCACAGCTTTGGGCTGCTTATCACATGCAATCCCCCCTTTTTTTCCATCTGCAACGGAATCCCAAGTCACCGACAACATGGCTTCCTCAGTCGGTCCGTAGAATCCAGGATGCTCGTATGATGGGGTGGTGTATGACAACTAGAGAGTAAATGGTCAGGGCAAAGGAACACTTGTTGGGTAAATGTATGACCAATGGGCGCAGTGCAGATTTAATACGCAGTTCATACCGGCGTGTGAGAGATTAGTCATGATTATGTAGTGTTTGAATAAGACTACTAGTCTCTCGTTGTTGTACAGCGCAGACATTGCAACAACCAGGAGAGTATAATGGCATTATGTCGTGATGCTTTGTTAACTTAAATGCAAAACACACATTTTGGATTCATTCCCTATTCAGCCTGTCTTTAACAGTTTCTTAGCTGTTTTGCAACCACAGTGTTAGAAAGATGAAAAGCTTGGTACAGCTTTGAACAAGACAAAGTATACTTCATGCTCTCCATAAATACGACTGCAACCGAGATTGACATGCAGCACTTAGAATGCCGGTCTCATCTAATGTATTATTTTTCCCTTTTTAAGTTGAAGAATGACATTTTGGAGCATAAAGAGGGCTGTTGTGAGGCGGCTGCCGCTCCCTTTCGCGGCACAAAGAGTGCACACACTCTTATTGAAAAGTTGAAATGTGAAGAAGTCAGAGTCCATCGTGAAGAATGCTGGGAAAACTCCTTGATCACTTCCTATAGCCATGAACAATCCTCTCTTTCATTGGCATTGACTGGACATTGTAAGTTGTTGGTCATAGGTATTCCACTGTTTGGTATGTGTGTGTGTGTGTGTGCTGAGTGATAGCTTGCTGGTCGTGAATTCCTGAATCTCAGTGAATACTGGTGAGTAAAGAGTCCTCTGCAGTCACAGCCTGCCCGCCTGCTTTACCCTAGGGACTCTCTCTGCTCTCTCTGTTCTTCTTCTTTCAACCCATCTCCCCCCCCATTCCTTTTGTTTGCTTGCTTTTCTCCATGTGTATTTAACATGTGTATTTACAAAGACACACATTTACTGTACATTGAAGGCGAGTAGATGATCTTTTTAGTGCTCAATTATCACTCATGGAAACATTTCTGCAAGATGAAAATAACCTCATGTGCCGTCTTTTTGAGGTTACTACATGCAGTGCTGCATATTGACTCAGCACATTTTACAACAGAATAGCAATAAAAACACAACTGCAGCAAAAATATATGAAACGTTAGTTTTAAATACGGTTCAAGTACTGTATGCTTAAAAATAATAACAGCTTGCTCTAATAGGAATGTTTTTGTTTTCTATGCTGTTATTTTGTTGGTGTTCAAACCTCGAATCTACTCTTAACCATCCCGGTCTCTTTCTTTGTCTCAACAAACCTTTTAATCAGCCGTGTCGCTTCCCCCAATTTATGTGCATGTGAAAAGATTAACCATTCTGAATTTTTTTGCTTCCAAACTGTGATAAAAGTAAGAACCCGTCTCATTTCTGCCTCTCTCTCTCTCTCGCTCTCTCTCTCTCTCTGTCCTTCAAGGGTCTCACATCTGACTCTTCCATCTCCTCGACCTTTTCATGCCTGTTATAAACTGCAATTGCTGATTCGTCAGTGCTTCCATCTAGAAGGGCAGAGCGGTAATGGCACCCTGTTAAATCTTGAGATTAGATTTTGAATGGAAAAACAAAACCCGTGCGCTTTTGTCTTTCATGAGCCGATGCTCGGACGGCTCAGAATCTTGCTGAAGGACCTTTTTGCCTCTTCGCTGTATTATCAGCCCCTTCAGATGTGGCCTAAAATGACCCTCGATAGCCGGCAACATGTTTGTTATTTCATGTGTGGATCCTGTGTTCCTCTTGGCACTTTGTGTCAACCAAATCTGAACGTAAGCATATGGTTTCAATTACTCAAACTATGCCCCCTGTTTGTTTGTTTTTTTAGATGAAATGCACTCAACGGGATATATTTGGCGGTGTGCTTTTGGGCCCGCGATATTTAGCTGATCTAAGTGTGTGTCGCACACGAGCCCTCTGTGTCTCTGTCGTTCCACTCTAGATGGAGCCGTGTGACTCCTGGGTAATGGGTTGTGTCTGACCATCCACAGATGAATGGAGGTTTTCAGGATGGATTCTTTGGCTTTGTCCGCTAAATAACAGGCTGCACTTGGATTGCTTTTTGTAGATGCTTCACTGGATCAGTCCCCTTCAGACTCAGACCTCGTATATGTACTAAGGCTGGGCGATATGGAGAAAATCCAATATCGCAATATCTGTGACCAAATACCTCAATATTGATATTGCAGGGTTGCCACCGGTGCTTTTACAAAAAACATTTACACAATAAGATTTTTGATAAATAATCATCGATAATGTGAATACCATGACTAATTGTAAAAGGCATGTATTAGAATAGCCTGGTAAGTTAAGAACATGACTGTACTGTACTGTAATGCAGCCTTTACAACCAGGAAAAGACACTTATGCTACATTACAATATCCAAAATCTTAGACGATACCTAGTCTCATAACACGATATCGACATAATATCAACATAGGCCCAGCCCTACTATGTACACAAACCAAAAACATCTGGAACATCTCACATGTGTTGGAAACCTGATCTTAAGATTATAGTGTTTTTAAACGACACCAATCATCACCTTTTTAAAGCAAATTCTCACCACATAGTACGACCACTGCTTCCTGCTCCTCTGACAGATCACAGCATGACTTTTTTCTGCTAACAAGCAAGAAGAGAGAGGGTTTCCAAAGCACCGTTCCCCACTGTGCACTTCAAGTTGCGTATCCATAGATGGCACTGTGCATCAAGATGACTTTGACTCTCATTCTTGGTTTGTTGCAATGGTACTTCCAGATAATTTCCCCTCACGTGTCTGCTGCTGTAACCCCCCCCCCCACCTCCACTTTTAGTATCTGTGGCCAAGATCGCAGCTGCGGGTTTTTTTTTGTTTTTTTTTTGGAGGTGGGAGGGACTGGTTATCACATGTGGTAATGGGAAATGGTAATCTCTGCTCCTCCATGTCATCTTTATGTTACGTCTGGGGTTATGCATACAGTCATCTGATAAGAGGGGGAGGTTTGGATTGGGTTACAGTAGGTCAAGGTTGGAGGAGCAGAGATTACCATTTCCCATTACCACATGTGATAACCAGTCCCCCCCACCTCCACTTTTAGTATCTGTGGCCAAGATCGCAGCTGCGGGTTTTTTTTTGTTTTTTTTTGGAGGTGGGAGGGACTGGTTATCACATGTGGTAATGGGAAATGGTAATCTCTGCTCCTCCATGTCATCTTTATGTTACGTCTGGGGTTATGCATACAGTCATCTGATAAGAGGGGGAGGTTTGGATTGGGTTACAGTAGGTCAAGGTTGGAGGAGCATGGAGGAGTGGCTGAAGGGGAGGCATGCTGCTGCTATTCTCTATGAATTGATGGATCTGTATTATACAGTCACCTCATGTCGTTGGATTGTTTCCTGCAGTCAAACTTTTGCTTTTTTGTGTCTGGACTTTGGAACAGATTTCTGTTTTTACACCAGAAATTGTGGGATAGAAGTATAGAGGACTTGAAAGGTGCAGAGCTAGTTGCTCGGGAGATGTTTGTTTCATGGCTTAGTATTTAGTCTAGCGTCTTTGCTGGGTCTCCTGCATGTACAAACAATTATAGTGGCACTCTTAAGAACCGCATCTTTTGTCTATTTGGGGCGAATACCAACTTTTTTTTTTGCAGAATATGTAATGGACAACATGGGCAAATCATTTTGTCCACACAGAGATGGAAATGTTGCAAAGGGAGCCGTGTCTCTAGTGGGGTGAGTATCTCAGTGGTTCATGTTAAAGTTCGGCACAGTGAGCCAGCATTCTGTAGTGGAGCTGTGGGGTTTTCTAATTCTGTCCTGGTGAGAGCAGAGAGAACAACAGAGCAGCCAGCTAACTTTGACTCTTCGCTAAAGACAAAGACGGTCCTCAGAGGACTGTAGCACTCTCCCTTATAGATCATCTGACGTACAGCAGGACACGCGGAGCTCAATCCATCCTTATGTATCTTTGCAGCAATAACAGCGTATACTTTCAAGGGACCGCTCACAGATCCAAAACGCAGAAAAAACACTTTGTCTGTTTTGCCGAACCCCAACAGTGCATGTGTGTTTAAATACTCATCTTTAAATTTCGCTGAGAGGCAAATTGTTGTGGTTTCCTGCTGCAGTTTACATTCCCAGAGCCGGCTAGCAGTGTTTTACTGCGAGTCTCCAGCCATGCAGACGATATTCTGGGTTGTTAGACAGACCAGAGCTGCTATCAGCGCGGGGAGCTGTCTGAGAGTGTGTGTGTGTGTGTGTGTGTGTGTGTGTGTGTGTGTGAGAGCTATGGAGTGTAGTCAAGCCTGTCCAACTAAGACACCACCACCTCTCATCTCTAGTCCCTTCTTGAACACGTTAATCCAGCAAGAACTCTCTCTCCCTCCCTCTGTTTCTCTCATTCTCTCATTTTTTTGCATTTATTTTCCTCTCTTTCTCTCCCTCTCTCTGTCTGTCCCTCTCCCTCTCTCTCTCTTCCTCTCCCTCTCCCTCTCTCGTTCTCCCCGTATCTTCGGTCTGTGCTCGCAGGTCCAGTCAGGAAGCCCAAATATGTGGAGAGTCCTCGTGTTCCCTCTGATGCCATCGTTTCAGCACTGAGGAACGTGACTGATAACAAGGAGTCCTCACATAATGGTGAGTTCACATCATGGCTTTTCGTTCATTTGTGCGTGTGTGTGTGTGTGTGTGTGTGTCTGCTTGTGTTTTTGGAGGCATTTGGAAACTTGAACTGGCTTAAGAATGAGAAATGTACATGTTGGCGGCTAGAATTCACAACTTTGTCCTCAAACTGTGATCCTCATAGCTGTGTGTTTTGTATTATACTGAATATCCGTGTTGTGTCCGTGGGGTCAGGGATAGGTCTCTGTAATTTAAGGGTAGAATCAGTTCCCTGCACGAGTGGTCCATGTAAGTACCAGTGCGTTTGAGCAGTGCTCCTTCATGTAGCCTCTTGTACAAACACACAATAGTGCCGTGTTTATTTTAAAGTGTGTGTTTACATTACAGAGGAGTCAGTTTTCCTCTGTGTGGGGACACATTGTCTGACCGGAGTGCTGTGTTTTTCTACATGGGAATGTGATGAGGACAAGACCTTAAATTTCTCAGTAACTGCACATATACGTATATGTGTGACATTGTGTGTGTTTCCACGTTTTCCACGAGCCTTTAGTGTTATTCTCTCCTGCATTGGGCATTGTGTTTGAGTGTGTGGGGGTAATGTTCCACTTAGTGCCTTCTTTTGGTTTCCAGCAGAGCAGAGCAGATCAGGGCAGGGCAGGGCATGGCTGAAATTCCTCTCATTGGCTGGAGCAGAGTCATAGATGTGTTATCTTTAGCAGAGGGCAACACAGAAAGTGGTGCCCTCTGATTGTACATGGTTCACATACGCAGACAGTAGTAACCCAGCGCAGCCCAGTCACTGTTGACTGTTACATACCGAGGCACGAGGGTGTGTCTGACGGTCAGCTGGCACAGAGTGGGCTACCGGCAGATAGCAGACGCCAGATAAATGTTATCTCACCACAGCTGGTGCTCTGGCACCGTTTGTCGGCTAATGTTTGCAGAAGTTTTGAGAGACCTCGGTTTGGAATTTTTTTTTTTTTTTATAGAAATTCATGGGGAGAATCTATGTAGTCGAGTCACGTTACAATGCTTTTGAGTTTACCTACTGCAGGTTACACACAAACAACACTCCTCTTCTCCTTCTCAGCTTTCCCTCCTCCCTCTTGCTTCCCAACACAGAGAAAAGAAAAAGAATGCTCAAGGTGTGTGTACTTTATGCTAAAATGACTCTTCAAGCGATATATGCACCATGCCTTACTATCTTACACGTATGTGACTGACTAAGCCCTCCATAGACTATTTGTTGCAAACAGAAAATGTAGAGAACCATCAAACTGCTTCAAAACACAGAGAGCGCGCACACAGACACTGAGCTGAGGTTATAAAATGCAATTTAGCATTTCTGGTCTACTCCTGATTATAGAGATAGCTGTTACAGATCTGGTCAATTTAAGGCAAATAGGAGATGATATGGCAGTCTGTAGGATGGGTTGTACCCAGCACATTGTTATTGCTCATTGCAGTGTTGGAACAGCAACAAAGGTCAGTCTCTCTTTACGCAGCTCCGGGCATTTAAGACGTTTTAGTTTATTTTGTAGCTTTGGTAGCGACCCTTACATGCTCTCAAATATTGACTCAGCTCTCGCAGAACTAAAAGAAATAGCCGACCTCTTTTTAAGATAATACAGCTACTTGTTATTGCTGCCATGTACAGTCATTTAATCAATGAATGCAAGTAGCTAAGCCAGGAGAAACTATCTTACCTTCTTCTTCCCAAAAGCCATGAAACATTACAGGAATGCGCCAACTTACTCGACTAATTATGTACAATTAGGTGCTGATTGTGATAGCCCAGCTGTTGCAGGAGGACGCCCCACGAACAGCTGAAAGGCTTTTCAACACAGCTACACATGCTATTCCTCTCAAGTGGATACATTCGTACGTATAGGAATCGTCCTTTTTATATGAAGTCGCACCATGTAGTTAGACGTAGAGTCCGCCGTCGGCCTGTTACTGTGCGTCACACGTCGCGCGTGACAAGGACGTTTCCAGTGTTCCTTCGTCAATAAAGAGAGCGTCTCTTGGCCTGTGTAGTCTACTACTTCAGAGATGGTAAACAATCCTGGCTTTTCTGCTAACTGCTGAGACAGGAGAAGATGTTTTTTGACATTGGAGCTTTTTATAACAAAGTCAGCATCAGCATGGAAACGGTGCCGGAAGATTCTGAGCCAGGAAATCAGTTGGAAGTTTTGCAGCACGGGCACAGTGTGACATTTAGGCCCCAAAATGAAGTGAGTTCCGAGGAGCTTTTGTTTGGTCTTGTGCTGAAGGATGCAACTCTTGGATGCATAAAAACTATGCCTCGCAGCAATAGTATTTGACCTACAGCGGAGTCATCTCACACAGCTCTTTGAGGAAGGATAGAGTTTTCCTGTGCACGTGCGAATGCAACGCGTATATTCATTGCGTGTCCGAAAGTACGTTTATGTTTGTTTACATATGAGTGCATTTGCGACAGGCGGACCAACAGTCGCCTGCCGAAATTGTTTCAGCTGTGGTCTCAGAGCTCTGTCCCTGTCAATCAAGCCTGAACCTCAGGTCCCGTCCTCTCCCACAACTACCTACCCCCCCCCCTGTCACAGCTCCAGGGAGACCTGGGCCCAAGCACTTAGCACCTGTTTCTTCATGTGCTGATTAACTTGTCAGTGCTGAGATAAGGACCCAACACATATTCTGTGAATTTATGCCTGTTACAACATCTGACTGTGCCATTGCTTTTACTTCTCTATTGTATTGTAGTGTGCAGATTTCCTGTATAATCACCCTTTTTGGAGAGCATGTCATCCCTTTTGCTATTCATAGAACTATTATTGTTACTGTTACATTGGGAGATAACAGTGAAAACATTTAAATTTGTAAATGTAGCCATCTTTAGTCGTCGAATGTTTAATTTTAGCACAATTTATGGCTAAAATAGGCCCAGCCGTGGCAGAATACAGAATTTAGCACCTTTTAACAGATTCAGCCTCATGTTAGCCATTGTCAGGCTTTGTGTGAATTGGGTAAATATGGTTTTAGTTTTTTTATTTCAGATATGTTAAAAAAAAAAAAAAAGAGAAGTCATCTGATGCAAGGTCTCACAGCCACAGCTGAGGTCCTGGTCTGCATTCATGAGATGATGCAGATAACGTTCGATTATTCTGTGATACTGAATTGGAAAGCGGAGACAAGGAGGATGTGAGGACGATTCTCTTATATAATAAGAATGAATGTGGTGCGCCAGTTTAAGCATCGAGCATTTTTAACAAACTGGCTTCATTTTGTACCATTTATAAAGACTCGAGCCCAATTGTACAATCAAGACCCATTGTTGCCATTTTCTAGAACTTTTGATGATATTTCAGCAAGCACTCCGAGGTGGCAGCGGAGATGAATGGGCTGCGATTTCGTTTTTGGCTGCAACAGTGAGTCATATTCGTTTCCACGGCATATCAGGTTCATTGCTGATTTCCCTTTTTTAATCAGCTGCTAGAGGCTGACTTTGTATGTTATTTGTCTTTTTCTTTATTTAGCGATGAAGCTTCATTAATCAGTATTTCTCATCTCTTGAGGATCCTTACACCACAGCGGCTCTGCCCTGCAGGGGTGAACCGCTTCATGATAAAGCTGTAGCTCTGCCGGTCAAATGGTTAATGAAATGCCATCTGTATCTACAGTTGGAGCCACGATAGAGCCACGAACAGCTAGCATCAAGCTGAGATGTCAGTTGCCATCCCCTCCCTCCAAACCTTATTTTGCAAGGAGATACTTTATTAACAGTGTAACTTCCGCTCGCTGCAATATCTCATTGGACACTCCATCTGCGCTTGCAGCTAAAGGACATCTATGGTTCGAACAGTGGCATTTGCAATAAGCGTGCTTCAGGGGGGCACGTCACCTCGTACCTCTGAGCTCAAATGGGGAAGCAGGATATATGTTCTCATTGAGGGTTCATTAAACAGGCTCCACAGTTGTGGTAATGAAACTCCAGCTGCTAATGAGCACCGGCTGGATAAGTATTCGCGGCAGGGAGAGAGCCAAAAACAGGTCCGTGGAGCCAGTCCGTTCACGGTGTTCCCCTGCTGCTCCATCCTTCATCTGCTCCTCCTCCCTCCGCTCCTCCTCCCTCCATCTTCCTCCTTCTATCCCTGCACAGCGCGGCTGCTATTTCACACCTGCTCATAAACTTCCTCCGGCAGCAGATAATGATGTTGTTGTCTTTTGCCTCCATTTGCTGTACAGTTACTGGAATAACTAAAAGTGGTTCCAGCTACATCCCTTTTTTATTATTCAAATCTCCTGGGTAGTGTAAGATATAGAGGACTAATCGGATACTAGCTCATTTTCATTGGCTAGTCATTTAACTTTACAACTGCCTTCCATCCACATCAAGGCATTTCACCTCATGTTTAGCGATACATTAGCCGTTGCCCAACTGCCACAGTTTTGTCATGTCCATCACAGAATCATACATTTCCATCGTGAAGTCTTGAATTGATTCATAAATTTGACACATACAAGTTTTGATGAAGTCATTATGTAATGTGAAGTGCTTTGGAATGAGACCAATTACAAACTGGGTTCATGGAAGGTAAGAGTAGTTAATGAGAACCATTAGAACAGTGCTGCGGATCCATCGCACATTGTCTCTGGACGGCATTTTATCCACTGCGAAATTACAGGAGGTTGGCCATAATAGATGGCACTCAACCAAGCCTGTTTTCTTTCTCGTTAAATCAAATTTGCTGACTCTCCGAAAAGCTTTTTAGTGTTTTCTTCGTACACACAGGCCTCTAATTAGGACTGTACTGTATTTGTATAATTGGTTGTTATCCATCAGGTTAGCCAGACGCTTCAGTTCAGCCGTTACAACACACAGAACGCCTGCAGATTTTATGACGTAATAAACAGGAATAGATTGGTTCAAGTTGTCGCAAACGACATTTCCTCGTGCATTCTGAAATGATGATTGAATGTGAATTTCCGTATACGTGGTTGTGTGACTGTGGGATCACTGTAAAATATGTGTTGTAATCCAGTGACCCTGAACAGGATTTATTTTATGTCCTTATTAGTAACACATTGGTGTCTTTCTAGCGAGTATAACTAATCTGTCATCTAGGCTTCAGCTTCAGTTCAAACATAAACTCCCTACTGGACAAACTATGTTATCTTGACACAAAATGATCTCAAAACAAATCTTTTTGTGTTTCAGTACAGCAATTTCTTAGTTAGTTATCGGCCTACAATACGCCGATACTGCTTAATCTCTGCGAGAGAGAAAAGAGCACACACACACATGCCTATAGATACAGTTCGGTCCCCAGTGTAAGTGTGTGTGGATACGTGTGTGTGACTAACCTGCTGTGCCCCAGGTAAAAGAGCCAATGAGCATTAACATGGAACAGGAGCAGATCTAATCTGTGGACACAGCGAGGGAAGCCAGCAGGTTTGGCTTGTATTCAGCCCGGAGACAGGTAGACCTCCTGCAGTCACAAGTGCTGGTAGCAAGAAACCATAGCATCCCTCTTTTACGCTGACAGCTTGAGAACATGATGACATCCACGCTGACCTCTGTCTTTGGACTATGTTGTCAGTTTTTTTTTTTTGTTCTTATTGGATATAGATCGGAAAGTCCTTTACCCATTGTATGCTAAAGTTATCGTTTAAACAAGAGATACACCAATATGATTTCTATGTTTCATTATGTGTCTCAAATTGAAGAAACTCTTATGAACAAGGAACTAGAGAACATAATCCAGGGACACAGTTGCTACACTAGGACTACTGAACAGCAAGGAGATAATATGCAAAATTGACTGCTGAGAGACAAAATAACACTGATATCTTGTAATCTTCACGTTGGGCTTCAATTTATATTGTGAGTTGTTTTTCTTGTTTCTGCCACTTTGGATTTAATTCGACAAGCAAACTATCAAAACGTCCACGGACCCTTGACTTTTAAAGTGGCGCTCTACTTTTTGGTCCTCTCGTGTTGGACTTGAGGCAGACTGGGACACGCCAATGAATCACTGTCGCTTCCTGAGGTACAAGTGGTGTTATAAGACAGGACGGGCCAGGGCTACTTGTTTTAGCATGCTCATTTCAGCAGATATCTCTGTAACACAGTACATAACGTCAACACTGTAACCTCTTCACATTAAAGTCCATTTTTTGAATGTTTTTCCAAACTAAAATTCTGTCCAGGTCTTACACACTGCACCTGTTAAAAGTACCTGTCATTTTATAATATGGTGGTCTTTGAGACGCACAGTACTGCAACACTTACATGGCCTTGAGCCTACTGAATGTGAGATATACAGTGCACCATAGTAACATTCAGCACAGTTTCACCAATGCATCTTATAGCTATTGCTGCCAAAAAATCTAGATAAAATAGAAAATCTTTGGGGAGATAATGATTTTAAAGCTAACTGATAAACGGCACATACTGTATGTTGTCATCAGTGAAAGTGATGGTGGGACAAGACAAACAACAATAACGCAATTTTATTTATATACCCCAATTTAAGAGGCCTTTACAATCTGTACAACTCACCACAGCATCTGTCCTCTGCAGTGATTTATTTTATATCGGCAATGTCCCGCTGAAGGCAATGGCTACCCCATAAAGCTTTAGATGCTATCACATCAACGTAGGAGCAGTGGTGGTCGAAAGGTTAGAGAAGCGAGCCCGTGACTGAAAATTTGCCCGAGTTTGAAACCACAAGCAGGTTGGACAAATCTGGAAGGAAAGCGAAAGAGCGGCTCAGCTCTCAGTACGACAGCTGAGGAGCTCTGGAGTAAGACCCTTAACCAACAACAGATAAGACCGGCCAACAGATGAGACGGAGGTTGTTTTGAGCAGCTTCTAGGAATAGAAATAATGGTAACAAATTATTACAGAAACAACATTTCCTCAACATCAAGTGAAGGAGAACACAAAAATTATTTCTAGTCTTCAGAAATACATTATGTTTGTGCTTTTCGGGCCTCGCCACGCTTTTGACAGACTCTCAATTAAAAAACACAACCTGCCACTGTGTGCGAATGTACAGTAGCCATACATGTGTGAGGTGCCCCATTTAAAAACCCGGGCCCAGCTGTTCCCATTATCTGTATCCGTCTACTAAAAGTTGATGAAGCCTGCAACGTGTTGTTGTGTACTTCAAATGACTATTTACACACAACCGGCGATCGCCAGAGTTTATATCGGCCATGTCCACAGTTTAATTTAATGATACATCTCAGTTATACTACTCTGTCACTTTATGATGTTACCATACAAGTGATTCGGATTAGATTAGCTCATGAGTTCTTAAACCTTAATGACAGAAAATCCCAAAAATAGATGTCAAAGTAAGACAATGCCTGAGAACCACAGCTTTGAAAGCAAATTAATATTTGTGCATGTTGTGGTTTGTGAGGTGTGACGGTTGAGTTATTGTAGTACTCTGTGAAGATTTAACAGGATGTGTGCTATAATCCAGTGACCCTGAATCTATAAAACTGTTGTTGTCGGCAGCGTTCAGGCCTCGACATTGTCTTTGCACCAGTGGTCTTAAAAGGCTCATCTCAAGCGTTTACATGAGCAGGGTGACATTCCCTATAAAGAACAGCTTTTCAATGTATGGAGAAAAAGGTGATGCAAGTACAGCCTCCAGGAGAATTTAAGTCAAGTGGTTTTCTTCGAGTTGGTGCAACTGGCTTTAAGGCAGTGCCTCCACAACACGTATACTGACATCAGGATCAGGCAACCCAGTGAGCGCCTGTGTCCCAGGGTTAACATACATTATGCAGAGGCTCAGCTTAGACTTATGTGCTTGTCTGACATTACTTACAATACAAGCATCTTGTCGAACACAATTCCCAGTATAGAGAAGCCAGTGTATAGAAGCCTTTGATGAATTGCCGGCATTCTTTCTTTACATAATTGCTTTTGTGATTATAGCAGACCAGCTGTGTGCATTGTAATTATGACCAGCATAAGTTGTCAAGGAAATTAAAAAATCATTGGTGTTCTGAAATTAGTTCTCACCATTTGCGCAATCTTCTTGATTAGACATGCTTTGTTTTTCCATGTAAGAAAAAAAAATCATCTACTAATAAGACAGCTAGTCCGGATGTTGTAATGGATAGTGCTGGAATGACTACAGACGCTTGCAGTGACGTGGTGATGTGTTGTTTGAGTAGTGTCATTTAGCTGTAGAAGCTGTGCTGTTTGTGCTCCCTTTGCCTACCAGGGTAAGCTAACTGCCAACCAAAGAGGACATGTAACGGCTTCAGTGTATCTGCAGGTGCACATGTTTTCACTAAAAGGACCAGTCTGCATTGAACCTCTAGATGACACCTGTATGGTACGTCATCCTCATTTTAAGATTACTAGTCCACAAGTGCCATCAACTGAGATACTGACGTTTTAAATGCGTGCTCCACTCATAGAAAACTCTACCATATCAAATCAAGTGCTTCCTAAACTATCAGCCAGCCACCAGGGGGAGTTTGAGATGTTTTGAATATTTGGTATCATTTTTTATTTTTTTAAGATGTGTGTGTGTGTGTGTGTGTGTGTGTGTGTGTGTGTGTGTGTGTGTCTGATGACTTTATTTTGAGTTCATTGGGGCTTGGCACTACATTGGGCCAATGGATTGAACTTGTTTATTTATCAGATTGACTGCCAACATTATTAATAACTGTGGAAGAAAGAGGGTAAAGGAGAAAATGAAGGAGAGAGGAGGAAAAGTTGCTGACAGAGAGCTGTATAATAAGCCTTTGTACCTTGGACATCTGCCTCTCTCTCTCACTCTCTTGCTCTCTCGCTCCGTCTGTCTGTCTGTCGGTCAGTCTGTTCACTCTCAGGGAATGTTGTGACTCTTCCTTAATTACTTTGCCACACCCATATTTGAGTTACAAGTGTGGATGGTGAAATATAATTGTTCCGTTTCAGCAGACAACACAGGTACATTGTTGTTGCACAAAGTGCCTTATTTGTCTTGAGTTTTAATATATACCCAAAAAACAATATTTATAAGCAAACATAGATTACAGGTGATCTCAGCCTTGAAATTGCTGCCTAAACAAGTGTTATGCCTTGAGAGTTAGTACGGCAGGCAGTTTAAGCTGTGTTTGAGAAAGTCTATGTCCACTCATTGATATTCAGAGGCTCTATGAGTGAGAGCTGTAAACAACCAGAAAGCCCTGGATTTGGCACTTGAAGCGTTGCAGGACACACACACACACACACACACACACACACACACACACACACACACACA